GGTCACTGGAAGTGGGACCAAGATAAAACTCTAATGCATAAGCTGACTTTGTGGAGCCCATTCTCTATAGAGAAATACTTTGCTCAACCTAGGCAAGGGGGGAAGGATTGGGGGAGGGCCTTGGTCTTGCCTTAATGAGGTGATGAGACAGACATAATTGACTTCCTAGGGGAGACCTTACCCTCTGAGGAGTGGATGAGAGGAAGATTGGGGGAAAGGTAGTGGGAGCAAGAAGAGAGGAGGGAAGGGGAACTGGATTTGGAGTATAATAAATAATAAATAAACAAATAAATAAATAAATGGCTAAGATGACTCAACAAAATTATTTTCTGGACTTAAGAGGAAAGCAAACACTGTTTATATTTCAGGGAAGGTTAGGATTTTGGCAGACCCAGAATAAATATGAGGTTTTCATTTGGAGTTTGAAACAGAAATATTGCAATTTATTTTTAAATCTCTAAATTATAAAGTGGGATTTAAGGGTAGTATTTTATTCCCCATTGACTCCAGCACAAGTAGTAGCACTGGAGGGCCTTCGAAACACAATGCCAAAGTTTTCAGATGCAAATAGATGATTCATGACAGTGACAATAACCTTGTTTCCCAAACTTCTGGTTCATGTGGCAGCTGGCAAGTACAGGGACAGAGGACTGAGTGAGTATCGACTTGACAGTGAAGACTCAAAGGCTCTCATCTTCGGATAATACATTGCAGTATGCAGAGGCCTTACAGATACGAGGAGCAAGGAGTGGGAAAACCAAGAAAGAGGTAGACAGAGGAAGGGCGCTGGACCCACCACTGGGTTTCCAACTCTAGTTCTGCCACAGAGTTGGCAGGGCCTCAGGTACACTACCTGCGCTGACCTTCCAGAGTCTTGCGGTTTATAACTGTTTCTTGAATTATAACGTATATTGGCTCAAGGGTGAGTTCTCCGAGCACTTTCCCTACTTAGCTCCACTGCTCTCTGCTCCCACCTCACCTTTCCACTTTCTAAAACTCATGAAAGTGGACAAGCCGATTGCCTCCCATGTTTACACGGTCTCGATGTGTTCTTCATCAGGTGTTTATCCAATAGTAAGGACAGGAAGAGGCCGTACTTTGTAAGGAAGCAATATCCTGAGGCTGAGGTTGTGTGTCCTGGAAGTAGTGTGACCAGCTGCTATGGTTTAAATGTGGCATGCCCTCCGTGCATTTTGTATTTGAATTCTTAGTCCCAAGGGGACAGGTTGGGGCCCTCAGTGGAGGAAGCAGGCTGCTGAGAGGTGACTGTTGAGGACTGTCACTGAACCCCACTTCCCATGGAGCTCTCTGCTTCCTGACTGCCAAAATGTGAGCAATCTGAGTCACATGTTCCACAACCAAGAGGGGAGCCACCTGTCCCCACGCCTTCTGTCCCCATGCCACCTGTCCCCATGCCTTCTGTCCCCATGCCTTCTCACCGTGTTGAGTGTGTCCTTGAACAGTGAGCAAATCAGACCCCTCCCCGCTGAGGTTGCTTCTGTGGGGGATTTGGTCACAGTGCTGTAAAAGTAACTAAAACACCAGCTGTCTCTGTCTGCCTGGGACAATTCAACAGCAGCACTAAAAATCCTCGGTATGGTGTGAAGGTGTTGAGTGTGTCCACTAAGAGTTTGAGCATTAGGAGTTTGGTCCTCAGGTGGTGGTGATGAGAGCATAGAAGCTTAAGCAGGGGCTTATACAAGGTGACTAGGTGATGGGGTTGTTAGCCTTGCAAGGGACTAATGCTGTTTTCAAGGGACCCTAGTTAGTTCCTGAACAAATAGGTTGTTGTGAAGGAGCAAGCTTGGCTCTCCTCTTCCTCTAGTTCCATCTCATCATGTGATCTGTCCCTTTTGGGGGTCATTCCTTGCATGATAGCATTGGCAACATAGTGATATAGCCAAATGCCCTCATGAAGCCAGCAGGTGCAGGCACTATGTTCTAAATCTCTAAACACTGTGAGCCACGGGAGCCTCCTTTCTTAGTATTGCCCAGCCCTCATAGCAACAGAAAAACTAGTACAATCTCATATCCTAGGAAATGCTTCAGTCTCTGATGACAGGTATCCAAGCAGAGTACAGACGGAAATTTAAAATAGTGGCTGTAAATCTTGTTCTCATGATAAGTAAATATTTTACCATGTACTCAGAAGTGTGGTCTCCTCTCTCCCCCACCCAAGCCCCTCAGCATCTCCACCTCCTACTGACTCCTATCTTGGATAAGACTCCCAGAAATCCTTGGAGCAGAATTAAAGCATCTCCACAGAGTCTTGCTGGTGGCTTGGCAAAGCATCTGCTGTGACTGGGCACACAGTGGGACTGCATTTCCCGATTCTCCTGATAACCAGGAAGGCTTAGTGATCGAATTCCAGTTAAGAGCATATGAGCACACCACTGTGTGCCATGAAGAACTGTCTTCTTTCTGGTGCTTAGTCTCTTTCCCGTCCCCCAGCTCTATAGAGAAAGTTCTAAGAACCAGGATGAGAGTGATGGAGACATATAACAAGCAAAGACCCAGAGCCCTTGAGGCACTGTGTGGCTGGGAGCTCCATGGTGCTGTATCGTTTCTGCATGTCTTGTGAGAGGAGGCACTGACAGCCCTTGTCCCAGGATGTGTGAATAACAGCCCTGGAAGATGAAGATGGTGTCTACTTCTGCAGCAGAGGACAGATTCACTCACTGCCTGGCATAGTAAAGACAATGCCCTCTTCTGAGTCAGCAGTATTCCAGATTTACACCACGTCGCACAGACCTACAGCCTCCTCATCCGCCTTGCTAAGCCATGGTGTGGCGTCTCTTGGTCACTTTGCATAGCCACTGTGGGGCTTGGGGAGCATCCTAGTTTGTTTTTCTGATGCTGTGACAAGCACCGTGGTCAAAAGAAACTTAGATGGGGAGGTTTACTTAGCTTGCATTTCCAGATCATGGTCCGTTACTGAGGAAGTCAAGGCAGGTGCTCAATTAGGAACTGAGTCAAACCATGGAGGAATGCTGCTGACTGACTTGTCCCTTGGTTCATGCTCAGCTGACTTTCTTACTCCGCCCAGGGCCCTCCCACATCAATCAAGGAAATAACCTACAGGAACTCCCAGGCCAGCCTAATCAAGGCAATTCTTCATTGAGGTTCCCATTTCCCAAATGACTCTAGGTTGTATCAAGTTGATGATAAAAACTCACCAGGACATGGGGCAAAGGAAACCAAGGTAAACACAATGCCCACATCCCTTGGCCCCGACCCAGGGTTCCTGCGTCTTCTGTGAATAACCACAACATGGGGCTATTAATATTGTATGCTTTCTGTGTAGATTTGATGTGACTAAGGTATCTCCATCCCCTCCTTTTTCTGTCCCTGCTCTCCACCTCTCTCTGTCTACGGGAAGCCTCTCTGATCTGGGGCTGAAGCTGCAGAGTAGAGCTGGTTCGTACAGCTCCCGTTTCCTCCTAAGTATTCCCACTGTGCTGTAGCAGATTCCCAAACATTCCGGACTTCGGAAGTTGGAAGTGGAAATCTGGACACAGTTTTTCCTTTCTCTGCTTTAGGCTCCCATGTCCATCTCCTGAGGAAGGCAGGATCCCAGGGAGGAAGGAGTACGGGAAGGTAAAGGAATGTACAATAACTAGTATGAGAACCAGGAGTGTGGGAACCAGCTAGTTTCCTGGGACATCCCACCTGAAAACAAAAGAGGAAGCTTGTTGCAGTTGGCAAGGGTGTTCTAGGTATCTGTGCTGCACTCATCCTCATAGGGTTGCATGTAATTCGTGTGCATGGGTTGGTGCATATGGACTTGCCATCTGTCGAGGCAACAGACATGTCTCTCGTGATTTCTTTGTGCACAACAGCTTTCATTTGTTTTTCTTGTTTTGTGAAAGAACCCTTAATAAGAGATGCACCCTTCTAATTTTGAAGGATCCAGTATTATATTGTAACCATGGACACCATGCTTGGCAGAGGATCAATCAACTCTGAAAGTTGTTAAAGATGCAATGTGTCCCTCAGTGTCAAATGTTCAGCCCAGACTTAATTCTTCATGTAAAAATAAGCAAACACACTCATCTCGCTAGTAGGCAAATTTGAATTCATTTCAGTGAAGGGCAATCGTATGTGTGCCAAGTAAGTGTTTAAAAGTAATTTTTCTAAGCCAGGCATTGGTGGTGCACACCTTTGATCCCAGCACTTGGGAGGCAGAGGCAGGCAGATCTCTGTGAGTTTGAGGGTAGCCTGGTCTACAGAGCTAGTTCCAGGACAACTTCCAAAACAATACAGAGAAACCCTGTCTCAAAAAACAAGAGAGAGAGAGAGAGAGAGAGAAAGAGAGAGAGAGATTTTTCTATGCTATGTCATCAGTAAATGTAATATAAATTGCTATTATATATTTATAATATATATAGCTATTATATATAGTTATATAAATAACTATTTTATACCTTTTAAACTTCTATTTCATTAATTAATTCTATTTTTGTTTGTTTTGCCTGCCTATATATTTGTTCACCACATTCATGGCTGGTGCCCTGAAGGAGATGTTGGATCCCTAGGACTGGTGTTACAGATGACCGTGAGCCGAATATGGATGCTGGGAATCAAACATTCGTCCTCTGGCAAGAGCAGCAAGCACTCTCAACTACTGAGCCAACGCTCCAGCCCTATACCTACTTTTTTAAACTTCTTTTTAAAAATAATTTATTTATTGTATGTACATTGGTGGTTTTGCCTGCATGCATGTCTGTGTGAGGGTGTTGGACCCCTGGAACTGGAGCTACAGGCAGTTGTGTGCTGCCATGTGGGTGCTGGGAATTGAACCCGGATCCTCTGGAAGAGCAGTCAATGCTCTTAACCGCTGAGTCAACACTCCAGCCCTATATCTACGTTTTTATATCTATTTTATATCCCTCTCTAAGGCTGGGGTCATATAAAAATTTCTTCAGCAAAAAGAGGTGGCAAATAGAGAGAGGTTAGGTCCCGCCCTGCCTTCAAGAATGCTGTCCTTGAGACACACCATCTCCAAAGGGCATTTTCTTACTGTATTGAAGTCATAACAAAGCTGATGGAATGCTTAGCATCCTTGCCACAGCCAACTCAATTCTCTCACAAGCGAAGAGACAAACGCAATGTGTAGGCACTTGTAAACGTGGGTTCAATATCAAGAAAAAAATCCAGAGCAATTAGTATTGTGTGACATCTCCCTAATAACACCAGTTATGACAAGTAACCCTCACCTTCAAAAGCGCAGCCACAGACAGGGAGGTTTCGTGAGGCCCAGAGTGGCCTCTGGAAAGGGTAATTGGAGCCTATGGCAGTGAAAGTTTTGGCCAGGGTTCATCTGCATATTTGGTTTCCCATTCCAAAATCTGGCTCCAGAAAAAGCTGTCTCAGGAGGTGGCAAGCTCTCAATCAGTAGATGCACAAGAAAGGTTGCACGTGCCACTGGGGAAGCCAGGAGAGGACCTGGGATGGGAGGCTCTGTGGTCCCCACTCAGGCTCTGGGTCCCCCCCCTTACAAAGTCATGGAGAATGATCCTTCGACTTATGCAGGTCCTCTGTCTGCGTACTGCCTTTGTATCATCAAACACATGCCCAGTCTTTCTCTTGGCCACACTTGATGTGGCCACTTGTCCTGACACCCTCTGCCTGCTGGGTGCGAGTGAAGCTGGTGTTGGCCAAACAGATGTATTTAAGGAAGGCCTTGGAGACACAGCGGGGCAAGCACTGGGGTCCCTCAGAAGTGACCCTGAGGGGTCGTCCATCACTCCGGAGCTTTGGTCTTGCTCAGGCCTGGAGGCCTCAGCACAGATACGGGCGACATGAGAGCTGGCATCCGTGAGGTTGCTGTGGAGGTCTCAGTATCATGAGCAGGACACGGCCTCTGGACATCCCCCCAAGGCTCCAAGGCTCTGAAATGCAGATAGGAAATTCATCTTCTCCAAAAGCTAGTGCCTGTGGCCTCAGGGCACATGCTCCTTTCCCCCCACAACCAACACTTGCTTTATGGATGCACCTGAGATGGAGGGAAGAGCCGGGTCTTTGTTCTAGAAGTTTCTCTTCTTTGCAGTGGCTTTTGTATCAGGTTGAGCTAGTTTATGCCCTGTCTCCACTGCACATCCCAAGGGATGCTGGGCACAGCTCTTGCCCTCTGGGTGTCTGCTTCCTCATCTGTGGATAGATTTGAACTTTGAATATTAATATCTCTGAACCTCATCAGCCTTGGCTGTAAATAGGAAATCAACACCATAATGTATACCAGTCAACCTCCTTGAACCTGAAGGAATTGTAAGGAATATGGTTCCCACTGGGGATCTGGGGGGGATGGGGGTGGGGCGTGGAGGGGAGCTCTCTAGAGCTAGATGCTGGATATATCTGATCCATGCTGGAAGGAAAAACCCACTCCCCAAGACCGGCTGTAACTGCTTTCTGCCTTTGTTTTGACTAATGCCTGATGTAGCCTGGTTCTGCAGTGATGCAGATGTGGATGTTGTTGCTAGGCAACTGAGCTACAGCACTAATCCTAGGAGGCCTTGGTTTCACTTCCTTCTCATTCTGAAGCTGCTGACAGTGGTGACTTGGAAATAGCTGTAAAACTGAGAAGGGGGTGATGTCCGCACCAGGATATGCTGGATGAGGGGATGCGTGTGTGTGGTGGGACATTTTTTACAACAGTCCCAAGATGCATGCACGCTCTGCATGACAGCTGTTTTACCAATGACAACCCCAGGCTGTAGAGAGAAAAGAGGCTTATACAAGAGTGCCTAGGTGGTAGGTGGTGTTGAGGGTGAAATCTACATGCATCTGATTTCAGAGAAGAGGGGAAGCTGGCCTTTGATTTCCTCCCTGCCTCATTCACTGTCCGCTGCAACACATTAAACGTAAATCAGACCACATGTTCCTACCACACCCCATCCCAGACATTTGTGTGGGCGGGCTAGTCAGCCCCGTGTGTGACTCGGTGCTGAAGGACTGCAAAGGGCTGCACACGCTTTCCTTGTTCACACTGCTTCTCCCTCTTTCTGCATCTGCTTCCTTCTCTAAGTGCCCTGCTATTGCTGGCCTCGTGCCAGGAGAAACCTCCCTCCATGATCTAGAAGTCACACTCCCCTTCAGGCTTCAGTCCTCTGCAGACCTCCCAGTCTTCGAATTTCTTCCTGCCCGTTCACATAACTAACCCTCTGTGCCAGACCCCGGGATTCAACACTGGTTCTCCAAATTACACTGTCCCAGTCCTGGAAAACGGGGAAAGCCCAATAGCTGCATCCTGAGTGAATGTCTGGGAAGTGGGCATCTAGTGTATGAAAGCCTCCTGGGGGCTTTGATCTGACACTTGGAGGAAGTACTGCGTTGACATTTGACCTACCTCTGTTGTGGGCCTGGCAGTGTGCTGGAAACTGGAACAAGGAAGTAGTCCATTTTGTAGGTGAGAAGCTTATCCAAGGCAGCCCAACTTGTGAGATACAAGCCCAGGTTTCCTGGCTCTTCTGCTTTGCTATGAGGCCCCAGGTCTCTTTGAAATGAAACTGCACAGAAATAAAAGCCCTGGCACTTGTGCGTGCCCACACTCCTCATGAATGCAAGGTCAGAAGGAGACCAGGCAGGGAGCAAGGGGTATGGAGGACGGTCAGTGAGATTCAGGGAAGTGGGGTGTGTGTCATGCCCAGGCTTGAGGCTCTGCAGACACTTCTGCCTTTGTCCCTGTAACTCACCAACCTAGTGGCCCCATCCCAGGAGCTCGGTGGGACCCCTGTGACTGCAAAGCGTCCCTGGGTAGAGGAGCTTTTCCCAGAAAGTGTCTCCTGGAGAAATGTGTCCCAGAAGGCAGGTGGGTGGGTAGCAGTGGGAGGGGAAACTCTACACATGACAGCAGCGGAGGAAAGGGTGAGGTCTCTGTCAGAGACTTCTGGAATCTCAAGCAGTATTTACAAGAGACTTACTGTCCTTATTCCAGAGGATCTTGGGTCTTATTTGCTCATTCACAGTCCTGTCTCATTTAATAAGGAGGCCCCTCACTAGGCAACTTCATCACCGCACAAACATCGTAAAGTGTGATTACACAATCCTAGATGGTACAACCTTTGGCACGTCTAGGTGGCATATATGCACACTCACGTATAAGTACATACACATGCGTGGCATAGCCTATTGATCTTAGGTCCTCAATGCGTAAAACAACATGAGGGTATTATGAGCACAAGAGAAGACAACACTGTAAAGCCAGGAGCGTGAGCCCGCTGTTGGCACCACACAGCATTCTACTTTCCTGTGGGCCTTTTCCTATTAGTAACAGGAACTCCACAGCAGTGGTGTTCAAACCTTGGCCTCTCTGTGCCAAAAACAAACTGAATGAAGAATTGTTTGGGGCCACACACTAAAACACAAACACTAATGGAAGCTGATGAGCAAGATCAAGGTCTGAGTATAGTTTTTGTGATATCCAACAGCACAGATGAGCCAGTAAACCCATCCTCACATAGTAATCTTAACTCTGCACCTCATTCAGAGAATTTAAAAGCGTGAAGTAAGCACCAAGTGTATGCTCACTAACAAAGAAAATGAACGTGAGGTTTGAAGAGGCAGCTCAGCAGTTAAGATCTCCGGCTGCTCTTGCAGAAGATCAGGGTTTGATTCCCAGCACTCACATGGTAGCTCTCTACCCTCTGTAGCTCCAGTTCCAGGGGATCCAATGCCCTCTTCTGGCCTCCATGGACTCTACACGCATGTGGTGCACAGATACACATGGGGGCAAAACACCATACATATAAAATAAAAACACATTTAAATTTTTTAAATGGACTTAAGTAACATAATGGCATTTCTTGACATTTTATATAAGTCAAAGAAAAGAGAATGTAAGACCAGTGAAAGAGCCTGGCATAGTGACACACACCTTTAATTCTAGCACTTAGAAGGCAGAGAGGCAGGAGGATCTCTGTGAGTTTGAGGCCATCCAGTCTACGTAACCAAGTTCCAAGTCTATCAGGGCTACATAAAGACACCCCATTTCAAAAAAATTAAAAATAAAAATTTTTGAAAATTGAAAAAAACAAAACCTAGTGGAATGTGCAATGTGTTTGAGATTTGAGATACTGTGTGCAAATGTCTGGTTTGATGGAAGTTGTTGCAATGTTCAGTAAACCTAAACATTCTGGTTCTAAGTCTATGTAAATATGCCCCAAAGTGGACATGAAGGAAATATGTGAAGAAAGGGATGTCTGTAAGGTCTGGGGAGTGTGCCAGAACCTGTGATAATCTAGTAAATGCAAACATCACATTTATGAATCCTACCTGAAAACTCTCAGGTGGACACTTCAGTTGACAGAAAGCATAGTTACAGACCATATCAGGAGGAATACTCCCCCCCCCCGCCCCAGAAATCTCCAAATCTGTTTTTGAAAATCTTGTATCAAAGTGAGAGGCAAGGCTACATATTTTTTGCTGTTCAGGATTTAGACAATTTGCCAAAATGCATAAAATCCTTTGATTTAATTTGAGCTTGCCATCATTTCAATTTCTTTGGGAAGCTGATATGATTTAGAACGCTGTGTTGGTAAGTTGGTTTTCACCTTGACGACAAATGTTGAACTCATGTAAATAAGCAGTTAGATCCACTAAAAATGCCAAATGTGGAAGCTGGTTTTCATTGTCAAGTTCTGAACAGATTTGGCTTTTGATACCATAAATGACTTGATGACATGTCTCAAATCCTAAAATCTTTCCAACATTGGGCCTTGACTTAGCCATCCTAACTCTGAAAAGCAAATGTCACCATAGCCAACTGGAAAACTGTAGTCAACTCAAACACTTCTAAGGAGTCCTGGGCTGGAGATGAATTAATCCCTTAGCCCCTGTGAACTTCAGTCTTGACATGGTGTGCATGGTGGTACCCTCTTTAAAGTTTTTGTGCATGAGTTTCTGGGCATGCTGCACAATGACACTTCATTAAGCATGAGTTTGGAGTGGCAATTACGTCGTCTTCTATTGATTTTTACAAGTCTCTCTCTTTGACCATGGCCAGGCCCCACGCTTGCTGTGCCAGACATATTTACATGGAAAAAGAAAATCACTTTAACATTTTTTTACTGTTTTGCATATATCTCTTGATTTTGTTGTGTCTTTTAGTGGCCCTTCAGTGACATGTTCCTACCGATGCCTCTGCTTGGCACATCCATCATTAGAGCACAAAATTTGAAATCAGAAGTTCTACACACCGGATGTATTTCAGCAGATCCCGCGGTTCCTTCCACACACCTGGCAATGGTCTGGTGATATTAAAAATACCCTCCACCCTTTCCTCAGAGCATTACTCTGCATAGATTGCTCAACAACTCAGTAAATAGCTTCCACGTTTTTTTTACTACCACATAAACAGCTTTCTTTTACATAACATCCACCTGAAGTGTAACTTCATTCATTTCTTTTTTGAGGAGACAGACTCATTGTCAGTACTGCTCTCTTGTCCTTAGCATAAGTTGTGCCCACTGTGTGATGCACACTAGACTTGGCAGCACATTTTACACACAGTGCCTTTCGTGTCACAGTCTTTGAAAGCTTGCAAAAAGTCCCTACAAATTAAGCAGTGTGTCTTGCCCAATCCTCCCCCCACCACAGAAAAAGTGGTCATCTGTTTACTCTCCATTGAGTAATGTTCCTTTATCCAGAATTTTTTCTTTTGATACATTATAGAAGCCATACTGGAATTTAAAACGATAATAGATAAGGAAGTGTGATTTTATTATGAATCAACAGGGAAACAGAAAGTGAGGTTGGGTCTTCCCACATCCTAGCTGCTGATGTGACTTGGTGCGGGAGATAGCCAGAAAGCATGGGCGTGATGTGCATGGAAGTACTCTTGACAGTCAAAAAAGAACCCTTTCCTAGGTTCATTTGCCATGGTCTTCTGAAATCTTTTTGGCAATGGTATTTTATTTGCCAAGCTATCCCAGGATATGGGACGTCTGATGGTACCATTCCACTTGCCTCTGCCTTCGGAAGAAAACACTGGAAGCCACATATCGTGGTCACAAACCAAAGCTGCAGATGTGTACAAATAGTGGCAGTCTACATAGATTTACTTTGTGTACACTGCAACATTGTCATTTACAAATTTCAAACCAGAGGTCTGTGGAATCCAGTTACCTAAAACATTGCAGAAACACAATGTTTTCAGTAGGTTTATAATTTTCTTGTGTGCATCATTCACAGCGCACCTGGGCTACATGCAGCCCACAGGCTGCTTTACACAGATGTACAATATATCGCAAAGTAAGCCACAGGCCTGTAGCAATTCCTATATCTATCTGGAATCACACAATATGCACCGTCCATAGTCACATCTGCAATGCCTTCTCCTTTCCTCTCCTCATCTTAACTTCCTCGCCTCTCCCCTCTCTCTTTCATTCTTTTTTTTTCAGTGCTGGGAGTGGAAACCAGGGCCCTGTACAGACCAGGACGCGTTCTCTCACTGGGCTGTGCCCTCCAGTGTTTAGCGTTCATGCACAATAGGACTGCATTCCTACCTGCATGTACTCTGCATTTATGCACAATAGGACTGCACCAGTAGGCTGGGTGGGGATCTAGTTACAACGTCTACAAAGAGGCGTATGAACAAGGGACCCAGACAGTTCTGGAGGCTGCTCCATACTTCTAGAAGGACACTTTTCCATTCAGTTCTCCCACTGGGAAGGACCCGTTGTGTAGATGGACAAAAGGCATGTCCAACCTTTCAACATTGTGACACAGCACTGTCATCTACAAAGGCCACACTTGAGAACAATGTGACCAAGTTAAAAATGAATTGAAAAAACACCTGATAGTGTTAAGTAAGCTATCCTTTGCTCCACACAGCTACACATGTACACACAGTCATAGCTGCAGGCTGAACTTACCTGATGTTACCAACCTCAGTCTCTGCTCTGTGTAGGCAGAGGACACAGTCTGGACATAGCTCAAAAATTCAGAGGTTTGAGGCAGAGGATGAGGGATGCTCCAATGTCCACACATACTCATGGCATGGAATGATTGACAGCTTCCCCTCCAGCTGTACAAAAATTCAGCATGGTCATGGCTGGGTGCCTCCTGCTATCAAAGAGTGAAACCTGGAGACCAGGGCTTTCCCTAATGTCACTCAAGGTGTGAATTGCTCCTCCATCGAGGATCAGTGGGAACTTCAAATACGTCAACTGCCTTAGTACATCACACCTTTTCCCACATCAAGGCACACAGAGAAAACTATCAAACTAACTTGCCGCTCTGAAGAAAGCATGAGTTTTCCCGTGGGATGTTTGTCATGCCAAAGGAATCAAAAACTACCTCACTGTCAAGATAATGATGATACCCATAACCCAATAGAAGCCCTTGTGGTGCAGCATAGCCTAACCTCTCTGAGCCTGGATTTCCGTAAAGATAATGTTAAAAAGAACACCCCACAGCTGTGAGGGCAAAATTAGAAAACCTACACAAAGAGCTTTCGCCATGACAACACCTCAGTGCACGTCCACCATTCATCTCATCTGTTTACACAACTGCTAACATGCACAAATGGTTCCTGTCACATCCTTGTGCTTTCTGTTTTTGAGTGGTCACCCATCCATACGCATGTATATCCACCCACCCATCCATCCATTCCTGTCCACCCTTTATCCATCCACCCCATCCACCATCCATAATCCAACCATTCACCCACGCACCTATCACCCACTTTTTAACCCATCCCACATCATCCTCCATCCATCTGTAACTAAATTACCAGAGTCCACAGTGCCCGTCACCACAAGTATCTACAAACTGAGACAGGAATTGAATCTCTCTAGGCTGTGCTTCATTCAGAGAGACAGCAATCTGGTGAAGACACAGATTGGCATCTCCTTTGTCTCCAACTTCCACATTTTATAGGGAAAGTGAACAAAGGCAGTCGGTCCCTCCAGAGTCTAACCTTGTCCCTCTGGTCAGGCGTCCCACTCTACTTCAGATCTGTGTTATGGGTGTTAATCATCTTCTGCAATTTCCCCTCATTATCATTTGTCTGTTTGCAGAGAAGGGTTTGTGTTCTTCCAAGGCCACTGAGCTCTGTGTTCCTCCTAAAACTGCACCTAGGTTAAAGATTAACTCAAAACAAACAAACCACTAGCAATGTGTACACAGTAAGTGATTTACAAATGTACACAACACTCCTTTCTTCAACATTCACTACCAGTTGCTTACAGAGTATAAAAGTCCCCATCCATTCTCCTGTTCCTTCTCACACCGCCCCCTCTATCCACCCATCTACCTCCTGCCCATAGCACCTTCTATTCGTCCACTATCTACTGTCCCACCTGTCCTCCCGGTTCCTGTTACTGTGATAAATGCCGAGACCAAAGGCAACTTGGAGGAAGGCAGGATTTATTCAGCTTATAGGTTACAGTCCACCATCAAGGGAAGCCAGGGAAAGAGCTCAAGACAGGAACCTGGAGGCAAGAACTAACGTAGAGTCCATGAACAAACACTGCTCACTGACTTGCTCAGCTAGCTTTATTGATTGCCTGGCCTAGGAATGGTACCACCCACACTGGGCAGGACCCTCCAACACCAATCATTAATCAAGAAAACGCA